AACCTCAGTCCCACAGCAGGGAGACACAGTGGCTGAAAGAAGACTAAAATGCCCACATTTTGATGTATATGTAAAAATAAGAGTACCGCATTCAGCAGATTTAACACCCGTCCACAAACTGAAAAGAGTATCAGAATCAGAATCAGCTTTACTGTCATTGCACCAAAGCACAATGAAATTACATTTTAGTGCAGCCCGTCCAAGTAAAACACAAACGAACAGACATGGGGAGACGGAGGTGTCTGAGGCTGCGGCCTCATGGGAGGCGCTGACCTTTTTGTTTAGATAAGAAAAGGTAAAGGAAAATGAGAAGAGTACGCATCCCCTCGTCTAGTGATGAGTCTACATGAGTAGATCAGGTTTTATTACATCATGTTCAGCAGATCAGAAGTTATGGATGGGACAAGAGAGAGTTACAGATGTATGGACAGACTATAACACATCTGTAACACATCCCCCTTTGATGGGCGTACAATAAAAATGTTGGGTTTGTCAAAATTAAGTCTGTTTAATAAAAGCTTTGAAAAGTTTAGACAGCTCAAATGTTAGTGTGATATCATCGTACCCTAAGTTAAACATCCAACAATCAGTCCATCCGTCCGTCCGTCCGTCCATCCATCCATCCATCCATCCATCCATCCAACCATCCATCCATCCATCCATCCATCCATCCATCCATCCATCCATCCATCCATCCATCCATCCATCCATCCATCCATGCATGCATTATCTTTTACCTGCTTATTCCTTTTCAGGTCGCGGGGGTCACTGGTGTCCATGTCCAGCCATCACTGTGTGAGAGGCGGGGGACATGCTGGACAGGTCTCCAGACCATCACAGGGACACATAGAGACAAACAACCATTCACTCTCTCACTCATATCTAGAGACAATTTAGTTTACCAATCAGCCTAACATGCATGTTTTTGGTCTGTGGGAGGAAACCTACGCATGCACGGAGAGAACATGCAAACGCCACCCACAAAGTCCCCGGCCAGGATTTAAACAGGCTACCTACTCGCTGACAGGCGGCAGCTCTACCAACTGAGCCACCGTGCCGCCCTAACAGACATTGTGCGGTAACGTCATAAAATGTGGAACGTTGTTTCTACTGAAACGTTTGAGCTCCAGAGTTTCAACACGGCTCCGTTTTCTCACGTGTTCAGCCAAAATCCCTCCGGGGCCTCCACAGTTTCTTCTTCTAATTTTATTCACACTGAACAATGTACGGCTGCTAAAACACACGGCACACGGCTCCTGATCAAGCTGCACAACTTCCTGCTGATTTATACAAACGATGTAAACAATCATTTAGATATATTGAAGCTTGTGCGACTATAGAAACAGAAAATAAACACAATTTAAAACGTCATTTATATTTACAAAATGTTTTCTCATATTCATCAAAAACTATTCAAACCTGAAATTAAACAAAAGAAACAACTTCCTGCAAATAAAATAAAACCAAATAAGCTGCAGGTGTGTTTTGGTTTTTGGGAAAAGATTTGTAGTCGACCTGTTACTCAGCATTTTTCCTTCAGCGACGAAAAAACACTATCGAGGTTCATGTTTAAATATTTGGTACCACTTTACAAAAAGGCTCCCCTTGTAGATGGCTAATAAACAGTTTACAGGTACGTTATTAATTCCTCTATAAACACTTTATAAATCATTAATAACTGTTTATTATGCATTAATTAAGGGTGACAGAGAGACAAAACTGACCAGTTTCTTGTCAACATGTGAGCCAAGTCTGTTCACCTATATATTTCATCTAGAGTTGTTATATTAAACATTTCAGAATAAGTCACTACCTTGTAAGCACAATAAGCATTTGTAATCCTAATTGTTTTAATATACAATATTGTAGTTTATCACTGTATTATATCTACAACTGATATTACTGTATATCCTAAAAAAATTAGGTTTACAAATACTTATTGTTCTTACAAGGTAGTAACTTAGTCTGAAATGTACCGAATATTTAATATTCTAGCTATTCTCATCACGTTAGGACTGGTAAGTCTGCACCACTATTTAATCTCACTCTTAATGATTTTTATAAAATGTACATGTTGATCCAAACGTCTGATGCTACAGATTTTGTTTTCCCAATCTGCTATTGAACAGTTTAAATCGTCTTTAACACCTGTTGAATAAATGTTAACAAAGAGATAATTAAAAAGAAATACAAGAAAGAAATCAATAGTTATTACTGTACAGAAGGAAATTGAATCGTGTCGAGGTCCGTGCGGATGCTGGGGCCGCTCCCTCCTCACTAGCGTGCGTTAAATGTGCACAGCAGTGAGAACACCAACACACGCAGGAACAGTGTTTCGTATTAACGGGTCCTAATGATCAAACACGCTGCAGAAGCTGCCGTGACTTTTAGGTGAGTTTCATCACTTTGTGTGAGCAGTATGGAGTGTGGAGGCAGCTCCGGCCTCGGGGGGAGGGTCCTCAGAAGCTGGATGGCTCAGCAGACTGCGGGTGGCCCCCTC